AAAAGCCAGAGACATAGAATAGAAGGTAAACTGTTTAAATTTTACATACTTATTACATATTTGTATTATATATTTGTAATTTTAGGGGGTTTAACATTTAATTGATCCTTTCTTCCAGTTATTGCAGCCAGGTACTTAGTAAAGAAGTTGACAATTGTGTGACAGATCTCTTAAAAGAACTGGTTCGTTTCCAAGATCGCTTGTATCAGAAAGATCCAGTAAAGGCCAAGATAAAACGCAGGCTTGTTATGGGTCTCAGAGAAGTTTTGAAACACCTGAAGCTGAAAAAACTGAAGTGTGTCATCATCTCTCCTAACTGTGAAAAGATTCAGTCAAAGGGTAAATATGGTTGTTAAACAAAAGAAATGCAAAAAAGCAGACTCTGTATACTGGAAGTATTATTTTTGGAGGAACTTTTTTGCGTAGCCTTTGAAATCAGTCATACAAAAATGCCTTTCTTACTTAGATTGTTTACTGCTGTGCAGCTGAAGAATGAGCTAAATCAAGACTGTCTGGGGTGGTGGAAGTTGCCTGAAACTAGGTTCTGGTTATTGATTTGCAGTGCAGCCACACAAAAGATTGCACTTGTGCAGCTGAGAAGGGGCAAACATTACTGATGCCAGCTGTGCTGCCACAAGAAATCCTGCTGTATCAGTCTCTTTCAGATTGACAATAAGTTGTCAGTAATAGTTTGCGTAAAATCTGTGGTAATTATTGTCATTACTTTCTGTTAATTCTTAAACAATGTTGTAGCAACCAGGTCTTTTACAAGAATACTGAATTAGATTAAACTACACATAGAACAAAATACAGAATACAGGTAGTCTAAAGATACTGCTAATTAAGAATTAAAAAAAAAAAAAAAAGTCAAATTCTCCTTTAAAATTCAGATCTCATGCTGTTATCCTTGTATTTTTTCCTGTAAACTCTTAATTTCAAAATGTCCCATAATCTTAGGGTTTTGGTTGTTTTTTTTTTGCTTTTGTACTTTTAAGAATATTGTCCTTTATTTACAATTAGCTTGAATATGGTCATTCTTTGCTGATTTTATTGTCTGCTCCAGGTGGGTTGGATGAGACGCTACACAATATTATTGACTGTGCCTGTGAACAGAATATCCCATTTGTTTTTGCCCTTAATCGCAAGGCTCTGGGCCGATGTCTGAACAAAGCAGTGCCTGTGAGCGTGGTGGGAATTTTTAGCTATGATGGGGCTCAGGTAAGCTGAAATATGTAGGTTTATAGTTTTGCTTAGCTTTACTTTTTACTTGTAGAGGGTGAGAAATACTGTGACTTTAAGGCTTTGTTTGATTGTTTTGATATTGCATGCTTTATCCCAGTTGGGGTAGAAGCCGGTGGCTCATCTGAAAAATTGGTTTTAGAAGTACAGACACTCAACACAGTTCAGATAAGCAGTATGGCCACCTCTTCCTGATATCTACTCCTCTATCTACATGTTTATTGTTATTTTGGTTTTATTTTCAAGAGAATGGGTGTTTTTATAAGTGCTTTTTCCTATCATCTTTATATGTACTTGGCTGCTTTTATGTACAAACTTACATATGATCTATAAGGAGTATTCATTATAGATTTTCATGGAGATGATAAACTTACTATATGATTTAAGCTGTACTAATATTTTGTATTTACATAGGACCATTTTCATAGAATGGTACAACTGACAACAGAGGCCAGGAAGGCCTACAAAGATATGATAGCAGCTTTAGAGGAAGAAGCTGAAGGAGGACCAAGAGAAACCCGACCCAGCATCTTAACCACTGAATATGAAAAAAATGGCTTATTAGAAACTGGGAAAACACCTTCCAAGGACTCCGATGAGGATGTACCAAATTATAGTGAGTATTTACTGACTTGGGTTTGATTAAATTTTCATTCAAAGTGCTCTTCAATGTTACCATTTTAACTGAAACAAATGATACCTGTCACTTTAGCAGATGGTAGGGGTGGGAAATAATTATTCTTTATGATTTCTCCCCTAATTTTATAAAAGTCTCGGAGAAAAATGCTCTCTGAAATCCACTGATGGCAGGTGGTCCTCATTGCTTTGTCCAAAGATATTTAACAGAGCTTCTTATTATTTCTATTTCTAAAACTATCCTCTAAGCTTTTTGCTAGAAATGCACACTCTGTAACTATGGTGGACTTACTTAAGTTTTGTGTTGAAGCATGTTTGAAATGCATCCTCCTGTCTAAAAGCGTTCATGTGTTGTAAAGGCCTTCTACTTCCAGAATCACATTCCTGCAGCTCTGCTCAGTCACCAGGCAACAACAGTTACCACTGATAATGGAGAACTTAAAACTTCTTTCAAAGTGTTGAAAACTCTGAGGATTTTTTGAAGTTGTACCCACCTTCAGAGTTAGCCTTGCTTGAGCAGGGGTCTGGACATAAAGACTTCAATGGATCCCATCACTCCTAAAGTATTCTTTCATGTGTCATCTGATGTCACATGGTGTATCATGCCAGAGTGCCAAATTATCTCAGCACTTACGCTGAGAAGGAAGTAGAGAATTAATGTGATTTTTCATTTTAAGTATTTCCTCAAGTATTATACAGTAACCTGTTTGTTTGTTCTTATATTCCCTAGTTAAAATCTGGAGGAGAAAACTTGAAGAAGAGTATAACCCATATGCACTGAAACTGGAAGAGGGTGCAGCGGCTTCTGAATTCACTGTCACCGTGTCAGAGCATCAGTAAATCCAGATCCAACTCTATTGGGCTTTTAATTATATTTTTTCAGACCACTAAGAAGAGGGTAGTAAAATACAACAATCTAAGAAATACCTGAAGTCAGCTATGTAAACTGTTCTGAGTCCCTCTAAGCAAAATAGGCATTGGAGCAAATGAGGCACTGGCTAATGCTTCTATGTGTTTGGTTGATCACTATAGGAGCTGATAACAGCAAATTGTCTTACCCCCAAAAACAACTTGGAGTGGATTTATAGACTAAGCATTGATTTGTTAGTGATACAACATAGCAAAAGATCTTGCTAGAAGAGTAATTTTATTTGGGAAGAGATACCATGAGCCAGAAGGTTGTGACTTGGGATTTGCTTTTTGTAACTCTTTTTTAAAGAACTTCACCTGGGTTTTGTTGGTAGGTTTGCTTTGGTTGGTTGTTTTTTTCTTTCTTCTTCTGAAGAAACCTGCTCAGATGGGCAGGCTGGCATCGGTGTCACTGTCCTCCAGTCAGCAAGAAATGTATTCTGGGTAGGCAGTTTGGTTGAAGCTAATTAAGGAAGACCATCATGACAAAGTTCCCAGTCAGCTCTTCTTTGTGGTATATTTGTTCTTCTGGGATCATACAGCAGGTATAAGGGAGAGTATAAAATAATACAAAGGTCTGAAATGCCTGCAGTGAAAATGTTCGCTTTAGAAATTTATGAAGTTGATTTTGCTACTAGGGACTAGTTTGACATATGTCCTGCTTTGAAGTTATAGGCTGTTTTCTGAAGGACAGCATATATGCCAGCCTGCCATCCTATCTGTACCTTCTCCAATGCTGACAGACTCCTCATTCCTTCAGTTTGGGGTTGTGTTGGTACATATATGAAAAAGTGTTTGATCAATATCAGAATGTATCTAAGGCGGGGAAAATTTCTGTCTATCTTAAAAAGCTAAATGTGCTCATAATGATGGTGGAGCACCTTAGTGGGGATGTCCTATATAAATACCAGTGTTTACAAGTTGCAGATAAAAGAACAAATAAACTGGAGCCTGAAGAAAGTAATGAAGGATGCACATGTAACTTGGCAGTTGTTCAGAAAGATGATAGAGATGCCATGTGCTGCTGCCAGCATCTCTGAAGTGTGTCTAAGTAAGTGCTTCATATATGGAACATTTGTAGTGCAATAATTTGGAAAGTAGCTGCCTTGTGAAGTTAGAAGTGACATAAAAACTTTGAATAATTTTGAAGTTTAAACCATTTTGTAGAATGTAAATTGTATTAAATCTGTTACAATATATTGATTCTATAAAGTATGGTTGTGACTTAATTGAACTCTTCTGATGGACATTTAATGATACTTGAAATGTCAGGTTTGGGAAGGAATGTCAGCAAGGGAAGTCCCCTTAAGCTGCAGTGCACAGCTGATCACTGGTTATGACGATGATCTTTTTGTATTAGTTTCTTCTAATTAAAAGTGAAACATCCCAGTGATGAAAGATGGTTTTGGCCAGCAGCTGTTGATCCAGAGGTAAGTTGTGATTTACTCATACTTGTACCACTTTGATACACATCTAAAACATTGAAACAACTAAGTCACTGCATGGAATAGGGGCCTATTCACGTTAACAGCTCATTTTTCCTTTCTCTTTCTGTAGAAGAGCATGAAAAGTTACTTTGGAAATGAAACAGGTTGTTCAAAATCACATGGAGTTATTTCTTGTTCTTAAGAGTGTAGCAAAATTTTTACTGCTTGCAGTACTTCACTGCAGAGACAAGGCAGAGTACAGCCATGCTCATCTGACCTCAGTCTTACAAAGCATTACCTAAATCAAACTAAACTTTAGCCTGCTTGAAATCTATGGAACACAAAAAAGGAGGGACACTGCAAGAAAAATCTTTTATGGTCATCCCTAAGCCATAAAAGATGTCAGAAGAGAAACACAATGTGGGGCAGAGATGCCCTCTGAAGGCTGTCAGAAGTCTGCATCAGTTTATGATTACCAATGTAAAAAATAGTGAAAATGGTTCATGTATACAAATTTTCACCCTGCATGTGTTTGGTATGTGCTCTGATATTGGGGGCAGAGGGTATCATTCAGTTAAAATCTTAAACTGAGGAAAATATTTTCTTCATTGTGGGAAACAACCTAATTGCCTGTTATAGGATAATCTAGGGAGAAATATAATGCTTTCTGCTATTGCTAGGAGCAGCTGTCTCCCTGGGCTCCAGCTACAGTGATTCTTAGATGGCATTTTACTTGTTTCCAGATTGCTGAAAACCACTGTGGAGATGATAAGACAGAAAACTTGAAAAATGCCTTAGACATTTCTTTATTAGATGCAGAAAGAACATCAAACAGCAGTGCAGGAAAACGGTTCCACTGTGGATTAAGTAGGCCCTCACGTTTTCATTCTGCAGTTGTTCACTAGGAATAGTCTTAGTACTCATTCAATATTTTTAACTTGGGTGCACTGTAATCTCTATATTTTGAGCATTAATCAGAACTTCTTTATTTGGTACAGAAACTTTATTACCAGAAGAAATGTGTTAGAACAAATTAATTTGCTGACACCTGAAAGGATTGCTGTTCAAAAGACGGGGAAAAGAGTGTAAGGGTAAACATATTCAAAGAAAGTAAGTAGCCAAGTTAAAGTGCTTTTAAATAAAGGTGATCCACATCTTATTATTAATCTCTAAATCATATGACAAGATCCTTAAGCCCAAAATTAACTGGTTTGCTTAATGAACTCAAAACAGAAGCCATACATCATATTATATTGTTTGAGCAGCACAACTTTTACTGTGCCCACTTTTGTTCTTCATTAAGTTGAAATAACTGGCATCAGAAAACCAAAGATAGTTCCAGCATGGGATGAGTGGCACCTCTTCTGGCACATAACTTAGTTATTCTTTGGTGCAGTAAAGATACCCTCTCCAACCTCAAGCTTCAGGTGATCTTCCTGAATAGCCATTTTAGTATCATCATTACAAAATAAGTCTTTGAAAGATGTGATATTAAAAGAGTGCTGGCTATGCTTAACTTGCATACACTTCTCCTAGCTTGTTTGTTCCTTTGTGCATTAGAGGCTGTTTTTCTTGTTGCAGCTCTCCTGAAGAAGAAAGAAGTTCAGAATGATGTGTTAATACTGCTTTGAAAGTTAACATAGGGTTTAAGGGTTGCCTGTACTAACTGTTCCACCTGCAGCAAACACAAGGTATCAGAAGTAATCTTTGGTTATCAGTTTATGATCTGTTCTAACTGCTGGTGAAAAATACTAAAAGCTAGCTCTGGACTATTGTTCTTTAAAGGAAGGCCAATGTTTATGGACAGTACCGTTTATGAAGTCCAATAGTCTCTGCAATCCAGTTAGTGTACAGGTGTGCTGAAATTAAGCTAGTATTTCCATATACACAGACTTAACTGTTCCAGGAAGGATAAGGATAAATGACTGGTTAGTAGACTGAAGGAGCAAGCTGTCATAACTGTAATAGATGTCACAAATCAAGCAGACTTTACTTCTGAGAGGGTAAAGAATGCTGACACGTACAGGAACACGGATCACTGTTACATAAGTACATAGAAGCATCATAGACTATCTATAAAATTGGGACTGTAGTGTGCCATGTAGAAAGCACCGTGGGAAATTTCTGGAAATTCTTACCCATGTTTTCCTCCAGCTTCGCATCATCTTGTCATGTTCAGTGATGGCACTTCTCCAGGTATGGAATTCTTTGGCCCATGCATCCTGACCAGCACTATCTGAGAATTGTACATGGGGATGAAGTAAGTGGATGGTATCTGTTCAGTTGTAATACTTCATGTGGAGGACTGGGAAAGAAGGAACGAAAGCCACCATTTTGTCCTTTGTTTTGTTCTACCTCTTCTCATGATATTTGGAAGTAAGGTCTGTAGAAACGGTCATGGCTCTTCCCCTCTGCAGCAAACCTTATAACCTCCAGAGTAAACAGATTCAGTGCCTTTACCTGTAATCCAAAATATCTGAAAACCTACAACCTGCAGGCTAGGGTTTAGTCCCATCCAGGCAGCTCAGGAATGCTGCAGTTAGATCATACCACACCTGGGGAGAAGAATAATAGGATGCAGCTGTCCACATGCAGTTTGTAGTTTCTTCATTTTTTTGGTAATGTTATATAGTTATTCTTAAATCCACTGAGAACTTAAGGGCTGTTTGGTACATCTTGGTAAAATTCTAATTCAGATTCTGTCTGCCAGTTTTTCTTGCAGAATGTAACACTGGTGGCAACATACACAGATGTAGTATTTTCTGTTTATCCTTCAGGACACAAGCATCAATATACAGTACTTCTGGAGCACATTGAAAGCCTCCCTCTGCTTTACATTTACAGTTGTTTCATTGAGATGACCTTCATTCTGCTACCGAGGCAGACTTCAAAGTAACTGGAGTGATGGCAAGACAACTGTGTAACTCCTACTGCTTTTCTCCATCACTGAAAAAAGAAGAGCTGTTCCTGACAAGTTTGTGTTCACTAACCAGCTAATTATTTTTAACTTCACCCTACCCTGCTAACTTCATCACTCCTGCTGTCTTTCTAAACACTGTTCAGACCTTCTTCAGGCCTGGATAAGTTCTCGAAAGCTAGTTGCTAATGTTGCTCGAGTTGCACTGGTCAGTTGTGGGTACCTGAAGATCTTGCAGAGCTGCTGAAGTTAGCACTGACCTCCTGCCTTGGTAGTGTCCAAACCAAGCAGTAGGAACTGACCTCACCCAACTGCACGTGGTTTGCTGATAATCTGATTTTTTTAACATCCTGGGTTGCAATTTGGGGGTTTCTCTTTGCCATCTGATTTCCTTGGCATCAAAGTTTTTCTGCTTTCTCCCCAGAGTGCCTGTTTTTAACATAGTTAAAAAGAATCTGACTTAATTTGTGTCCATTAGTTCAGCAGTTTCATTTCTAGAACGTAACTGCTAATGGGCAGGTCAGTCCTTTGTAGAAGGAATTTTGGTGGTTCTAAAACCTTTTCAAAAACAATTAAAGCAGACACGTCAAGTAAGAGTTACCATCTTCAGATATACACGTTTTATGGGTGAGAATTACAGAGCTCTGTTCATGTCAGGGTCAGGCCAAACATTGACTACATTCAAAACCAGCCTACCTTTATCTTCCACTGTGATGAGCACTTCTGATGTTACGTTCCCAGCTTCTGAGACGAATGAACATTTGTATTCTGTATTTTCTGATATTGAATCTTTCACCCAGCTCAGGACATGCACTCTGCCATCAAACAGCATATGAGATTGCTCAGTGATGCATGCTTTCATCGTCTGTCTGTTCTTCTTCCAGACAAAATAGGAGCCATCCGGACCTGTAAAAATGTCAGTCAGCTTATTTTATAAGAAAATACAAGTCTTTGAAAAGAAAACAAAACCTCAAGACATCAAAATTAGGCTCAAAAGCATAGCTGTTTGTAATATTTCATAGGCTTCTTAAATTCTAAGTAAATTGGGATAAATGGAGCTAGCATTGGTAATTTATGTTAAAGCCAAAGTTGTAAATGAGTTCATGTCTATAAATTCCATCTGGATTCCCATGAGGGAAAATGTGCTCCACAAACATGATAAAGCAGATGATGAACATCAGCAGCATCTACCTGCCTGTACGATTTCCTCTGGAGCTAGGCCACATAATCTAGTGCTGATCCAGCTAGCTTCTGGTACAAAGCATCTAAGACATGCCTTGCAAAATCTGAAATAAAGGCCAGGAGGGGAAAAAGTTCAGGAGCTCTGTGTGTCAAAGATGCTGGAACTAATAATGAAAGAAGCAGAATTGGAAGAAGCACAGGACCATTAGTCACAGCAGGCAAGTAGGCAAGACAGAACTTGGAAGAAGCTTGGATCAACAACAAAGAGCAATCCAATCTTTTATCTTTGTTGCTGTTATTAGTCTTAACCTGCGAAGACTGAATCCGAGTCACAGATTGACAGTAGCCCAGAGGACAGAACAGCTGCTCCCAGAAAACCAGCAAGGTTGGCTGAAGTGTATTTGGCAGTATCCAGGCCTTCTCCTTTGCAAGGAGACCTCTGAGCCTAGCTTAGAATTCAGAGTGATTCTGATATGAAAAACATGCCTATTTCCCCCTCAGGACCTAGGATCCAGGCTAGCCTTTGCAAGAGAAGATGTAAAGAGAAATTTGGTGTAAAAAGAAAAACTATTTTTGCAAGTATGTCTTGACAGAACAGGTAACCTATTAGGTCAGCTTCTACTATGAGCATTTCAGATTGCAAACTGATGTGTCATTTTTCTCTAGATGATCTGATTCTAGGTTAGTGCCCTGAGAACTAATTAAATTCAGATATTAAACAAGTATTCTTTACATCTGGCACTTCCTCAGAATATTGTGTTAAATTCTTAAGTCATTTGGAAATAAAACTAATATACTACAAATATGGAGACATAAGTTAGTAGTGATAGTAAGGCTGAATGAGAGAGAACCTCATCAAGTGAAAGCCTAGCACAGAGTTTATCTCTGAAGGAAAGAGGGAGGGAAATGGCAGAATCTCGAGGGACTGGCAACAGCACTGACAAAGTGGAGATGGCGAGCATATGCTGAACTGAAAACAGCCTGGCACACACTCATTATGAAAATATAGAGGTCTGTGGGTGACTCTACTTGTTGTACAATTAATAGTAGATGGGTCACATGTAAAAATCATGGGAAGTCTGGAACCAAGGACAAATTATTTCAGTAAACAAGTGCTGAAGTTGGAGTTTGGACAAAGCAGAAGAATAGTAAATACAGGCACAGCAGAAAGAAAACAACGAAAAGGTCTTGAAGAGCAGAAACCTACATTCAAAAAACAGTCTGGATTATAATTTCTAAAAGATGCCACAGTCTGTCACAGCATTCATGCAGAAATAAAATGAAGCAATAGTATTTGCAGAGGGCAAGCGGGCTTGGAGAAGTTAAGACCAACTTGAACACAGTGAAGATCAATAAAAGGAGGGAATGCCAGATATGGCACAAGCCACAGGGATGAACTTTTCCAAGCTCAGAAGAGTTACTGCTCTAGCACTGCAAAGCTAAAAGCCAGGTGCTTGAGTAAAGCGATAAATTCACAGAATTTATTTGCATGAGACATGGGAACAGGACCATTACCTAAATCCACCAACTTGAAAAAATGCTGGTTTGGGACCATGTGAGGAAGAGGCATGTTCTGTGTGGGACTCAGGATTCCTAAGCTGCCTTCAAGTATTACTGTTCACACCAGAGAAGCTGCTCTGTTTGCTGGTGCTAAAGATCACAGTTGTTCCAGAAATCTGTCAAAGGCTGTGCTTAGACACGCATTTCAGTAAAGGACTAAAATCCAACCATTTCCCAGTGCGGAAAATTCTGCAAGCTGTGTTGCTTCAGGTCAGCAACTTCAGAATTTGGCAATTTTACCCTCCCTTTCTTTTCTTTGTGGAAATCCCCACAGATACACTCATCCCCATCTAATGTATGATACCAGTTAGTTAACAGCAAAATCGAAGTTCAAGCACTAGTCAGGGGTTTTACTGATCATATTTCTGGTTTCAGGCACTGTGCTACTACTTTCTCTACTTCAACTTTCTCTTCAGGATTAGGCAATGGAAACCTTATTATTTAGGCAACAGATCTTATCTGCAAAAGCTCTGAATCACAGCTGTTAAATGCAAGTATTTCCTACAACTCCAGAGAGATAAATTCAGACTCGGATGTAATAAGAGAAGTATTTTTTTGAAGATTAAGGAATAAATATGAACATATACTCTACAGCAGTGGTACCAATTAATTACATGCCTAGTGCAAACTTTAAAATACTTCTAACATAATTGATCTACTTACTTTGCCATCCATTTTAAGAATGCTTGAAAGATTGAAAAAGGTCATATTAAAACAGTACATTCAAGCAGAGAATTAAACAGCACATCTGTTCAGATATGTACATAGCTATGTTTAAGCAACAGTGAAATGTTATAAACAGTTTTGAAAACATTGCTTCAATCTCAGAAATACAGTATTAATTATCAACTTGCACATTAACGATTTTAGAAGGGGAAAGATTAACAGTTATCAAACAAAAATGAAAAAGCCTTGATGCATTGTCTGAACTACCCCTTTTCTCTGCATGAGCCCTTTGTGATTTCCAGTGTCTGTGAAAATGTTTGCTGCTTTTCTGGATAGATTTCATTTTCTCTACCTCTGCTTTCAGCACTTGGAGTGAAATGATACTGCCCAGGTACTGTATGGGTAGTTTCTGCTGGCAGAATAGGTTCTCTGACCTACATCAGGTCAGGCAGGTTTGCACAAACCATGCATTTAATAGCCAGATTATTCTGCCACAAGATTTTCCACAAGGAGAAACCTCAGCAGCCATAGATAGCATCAGAAACCTGAACCACTGCAGCTGCTTGTAAACTTTTATCCACAGTCTAACTGCATTCACTGAATTATTGGTGCAAACTTGATCTTAAGGTTAAAATAATAAGTAACACCAGATACAAAGAATTTTAAGGGAACAGCCACAGATTCAGAGCTGGTGTGCCCTGATAAACAGTACCAAATTAAGCATTTGCCATGTGCACATCAAATCCTAATAGACATATGGCTTGCAAGAAAGCTTGGAGATACTAATTTGAAAGGAAGAGATTATGGATTAAGTAGAGATCACTGACATAAACCTGGGGTGGGGGAGCAAGAAGGAGTACTGGCCAAGCCAGCTCCTGCCGAATGCTGCAACTTGCAGAACTGTATAGGCATTTCAAGAGCCACCCAATGAAGCTGTACCATGAAACACTCAAAAGCACTATCCCATTGCTGTTGGCTTAGCACACAGTTTCACCTCATCAACATGATTCTTGGAGGGTGACATTAAAACAAGGCTTCCCTGTAAGTTATTCAGAGAAACACTTCAAGATAGAGGGAGGTAAGTCGGGTGAAAAAAAGCAGGAGCAGTCAGCAAGCCTAAACCTCTTAAAGCTTTCCCCAGCAAAACTAATCTCTGAAACCTGACAGCAAACTGAAATCCAGTGAAGATAACCGACAGGTATCCCACAGAGGAATCCTGGCAGGGTAACAAGATGTCCACACAAATTCCTCTGATCTAGACACAGAACTGCTACCAGAGGCTGTCCTCAGTGACAGGAAGTTCAGGTTTATTCCCGCAGTACACACCAAAACCCCTTCCAAAGCTCAAAACGCACAGCAGATAAAAAATAATAAGGTTAATCTTAAAAAAGGGATGCCTGGATTTAATGCTTGCTATCTAACTTGCAGCTTTGGCTTGTACCAAATGCTACTGAACTAAACATCCAAGATGTCAGAAACCCAAGATCATACAGGAAAGCTGTCATCCAGAGCAGGGATTAAGTTTTAAACAGACACTATAATCTGGGTGCAGGAAGATTATTTTAAATCGGAGATCAGAGTTGGCACAGAAAGTCAGTCAATCATTAACATGGAAAACAGCCACCAGCACTGCTCCACAGAGGGCTGAAAGTTAGATTTAAGGCTGGTCACCGTTTTAAGTTGTAGGAGTCAGCCACTGCTGCTGACATGCTAGCAGAATAATAGATAAATAGTACATGAAGCCATCAAGAGGGAAACAGATTGGAAAAGAGGGGAAAGAATCTTTAAATTAGACAAACATCACAGCAGTTTTCTGAGAACAGTGTACAAGGTTGGTAGGCTGCATCTCGTCACTGGGGATTTTGGGGTTGGTTGGTTTGGTTTTCTTAAATAAGGGCAATACTTCTTAGAAAACAAACTAGGAATAGGTTGACAGCAATGAAAAAGGAAAATCCCAGGAAGACGGACCTCTCTGAATTGCTAACAAAGAATATTACTTCAAACACCAAATATTTCATACTGAGGAACCCATGACATGCTCCTTCAAAAACCTGGTGCTTTTGTCAGTTACTAACCTATTGGTGTAATACCACCACAAGCTGTTGTGGCCTTATCAAGGCAGATTAAAGGCAGGAAGTGTTTCCTGCGAATCACAGAAGCTGGGGGAAGCTGCCTGTCACCAGAGGATATGAGGCACAGTGCATGGAGATAGAGGTAGGACACCGCATCTGCCTTCTCAGGGTGCAATGCAAAAGCAGGTTGGGAAAATGGCTCCTGGCTGTGAGATGAAAATGTGATCCATAACTGTCCACGCTCCCTGTGATGAACAGCATTTATTCAGATATTCTCTGAGTGGGCCCAAAAAAGGGTTTGCAGCATGAACCCAGATAACTGTCTTTATAGAATAGTTAAAAGAAGCAATAGCATCTAGAATTAGGACTGGCAGAAAAAAAAACAGGTTACAGTTTGAGCTTGCTCACTGATTTTGGCTCCTATCA